GTCTTTAGGCTTTTTCTGCTCAGATTTTTCTTCAGATCATCCTTATTAGGTATGCTTCACAGGTACTCAGCTCTGTTGAGTTTCAGTTTCTGATGAAAATTCAGGGCTCATTCCCTGGTTTGTAAACAGATGCTGTGGCTGTGTCTTCACTTTGCAAGTGTTGGGGAGGCATTAGTGCTTCTGTCTAAGGCCCTACATTATGACCTCTGACATCTTTTAATGATCAACTTTCTAAGTCCTGTCTCCAAATAAAGTCACTTGGAGAGTTGGGGCATTAATGTATTAATTGGTGAAGGGTATATACATACTAGCAGCAAATTTGTAACTTCAATCAAGCTCTCAACATCAGGAAGTGAACTGTTATCTAATATAATGTCTAAATAATGGTACTGATTGATTGTTGATACTGGTGCTTGAACTCAGGGTCTGGGCATGTTCTTTTTGTTGTTGTTGTTGGTTGTAGAGCTTGAACTCAGGGCCTGAGTATGGTCCCTGAGCTCTTTTGCTCAAAGCTGACACTCTACCACTTTGAGCCATGGCACTACTCCCTGGCCTGGCTCAAACTATGATCCTCAGATTTCACCTCCTGAGTAGCCAGGATTACAGGTGTGAGCTACTGGCACCCCGACCTCTCTTAACTTTTTTGCTCCACTTCTAGCTTTTTGGTAGTTAATTGGAGGTAAAGGTCTGAGAACCTTGATCCTCAGATCTCTGCTCCTTGAGTAGCTAGGATTACAGGCTTGAGCCATCAGTTCTATCTGTGTTTATATGTGTTTCATCTCTCAGTTTTTCACATGCTGAAAGTTTCAACTTAGTGATATTAAGAAATGGTAGAGGCTGGGAAGGTGGATCAGTGGAAGAGTGCTTGCCTTGTATACATGAAGCCCTGGGTTCGATTCCTCAGCACCACATAAGCAGAAAAATGCCAGAAGTGGCACAGTGGCTCAACTGGTAGAGGGCTATCCTTGAGCTGAAGAGCTGAGGGACATCACCCAGGCCCTGAGTTCAAGCCCCATGACCCGACAAAAAAAAAAAGGAAAGAAATGAAATGACAGGTCCTTTTAAAAGGTAGGACCTCCTAGAATAGTTATTAGGTTATTGAGGTGGTCACACTTAGGAGTATTATTTGTCTCATGGAGTGAGTTTTCTTTTCCTTTTTTTTTTTTTTTG